CCTCTCTCCTCTCCCCCTCCCCTCTCCCTCTCTCCTCTCCCCCCTCCCCTCTCTCCCTCTCTTCCGCCCTCCACTTCTCTGATGCGCACACAAAGGTGATACTTACTGTTTTAACGTGCCGTGACGTGGAGCATTGTTCCGCGGCTTGTGAATCGCTTGCCCGCGTACGTCGTGTGTTTACTGGGACAGGGACCCGTCGTGCAGCACTAAAGCTACTTGTCATGAATGTAAAGCCATGGGTGTTTTCCTGGATTGAGAGCTTCAGTCCTTCCTAATAGTTTAAACATGCGAGACACTCTGAGGCCATTCGTTACCGTGTGGGGTGCTTTATTCCCGTCCCTTGACCGTTTCCCTTTTGAACAGAGCACACCATGCCAAGGAGAGTGGCGCTTGGCTTCCTCTGGGGGAGACCGAGGGTGTGCAATGTCTTCCAGACCCAGGCTGCGCTCAGCCGCGGTCTGGGTGTGTTGGAGGGTTGGGACCTGTTGATGAGAACTGCAGCCCCCGGGGGGCCCCTGGGGTGACTTCCCTGCCCTTGCACCCCTCCAGCTGTCAGCTTCTCCCCTGCTTCCGGCTCTGGGAGCGCATGCAGAGCATTACCACACAGGAGTGGACGTCTAAAGCATTACTCTTTGGAGATTTTCCCTGTTAGTAGACTTGAATCAGTCAGTCAGTCCTAGAATTACTGAATGTAAACTTCCAGGCAGCAGCCCAGCCAGGAGGTGGCTTTTGACACTGTCCTCCCGCTTTGAATCAACCATCTGGGTCTTGTCACTTTCGGAAGTGATTTTCTAATCAGCGTCAAAGTCAGGGAACCAGCATGTCGTTCCATTATGGTAGCTGCAAGCCTTCGTGTACATCAGTGCCATCACAGCTCGTGTCAAGTGCCAGGAAAAAGGTCTCCCACCAGCTTCCCCCACCCCTAAGTCATATCTCTTTCTTGGATTAAAAATAAATGGAGCAGATCTTTATTTTTTCTACATAATAAGGACATTTGGGAAACTGAGGATTTCATTCTGAATTCATAAAACTCCCTCCAATTGCAGCATTGAGAGGGCCCTGATATCTGCCCCAGGATACCTCAAAGTGCAACGGAGGGACTCAAGTCCTTGCTCAGGGGAGGAGCAGAGCCGTGTGTGCCCCACGGGGAGACGACCCCGCGTTCTGCTCCCCTTGTCACACCATGGAGGTGATCTGGGGACGGAACAGATTTTGTCTCCAATGTGTTCCTAAATGTCCTTCCGTCTCACTGAGAGAATCTGCAGTCTTCGGCCCTGGTGTGGTCAGGCCTCCCGGGTGGACCGCATGGCACACCAGGGGTGAGGACGGCAGCCCACACCCTGTGTCACTGCCAAGAGCTTACCTGTCCCCGCACCTGCCGCCGGCCCACACCGTGGTGTCTTGTCCATACCTTGTCTTGAGCCAGGCAGTCGTGTAGGTTGTTCAGAAGCCAAAGAAAACACCAGGCCGGCTTGTGAGAGAGGAGGTTTCTCGAGGTAGAAAGAGGAAAGGACGGACTCTACTATGACTTACAAGCAAGGGAGCGGTGCAGAAATTGCTGGCAGCTGTAATAGTGCAGCAGGCAAAACCCCGTGGGTGCTGCACTCCCAACAGCAGCACCACTTTGCAGGCTCCCTGAGGGCCACGCACTCTGCAGGCTCAGCACAGGACACATGAGCTCCTGTCCCATTGAGGGACCAGCGTTCCAAGAAGCCCTGACCTCGCCCTGGGCAGGACAGCGGCTCCCACAGATCACACTAGTTTGTCCATCCCCATTGTTCCTACTTAGGTCTGGACATTCTGGTCAATGTCCCTTGATGTGCAACACTAAAGTAGAACACTAATGGGGCATTTCAGGGACATGGCGTCAAGTGCCCTAGCTTTCCTTAGGGAGGGCACGCGTGGGACCATGCCTTGGCTACCATGGGGTCCCCAGGTCTGTCAACAACCCTGGAGAGGACGGGATGGAATGAACCTCTTAGGACTGAATTGCCGAGTGCCTGGTGTCTTCCTTTGTGGTCAGCCATGGCTGTGGGGATGAATGAGCTCAGGCAGAGCCCAGCTCAGGCTGACTCACCCTCCTCATCCTTCTCTCCCCGAGCACAGCCCTCCTCTCTCCAGGGGAGCCTGGCAGTAGGTGCTGCTGCCTCCATCCACCCAACGCAAGTCTTTAATTACATGCATATGAAGCTTGGGCAGGGAGGTATAGTAATTACTTTCCTGTCACTGGGAAAAAATACCTGACACCAAAATTTAAAGGAAGAGAAGTTTACTTAGCTCGTGGCTTCAGAGGGTTTAGTCCATGGTTAGGAGGCTCCAAGGCAGAAACAGCCTGACAGAAGGGCCTGAGGGAGGACAGCTGCTCCCCCCATGGCAGCCAGGAAAGAGAGGAAAAGAGAGAGAGAGAGACAGAGACAGAGACAGAGACACAGAGAGAGACAAAGAGAGACAGAGAGAGACAGAGAAAGACAGAGAGACAGAAACAGAGACAGAGAGAGAGAAAGAGAGAGAGAGAGACAGAGAGAGAGAGTTAGAGAGAGAGAGAGAGAACAAAAGAAGGGAGGAGTCAGGGACAAGAAAACAGCTTTCCAGGTCACACACTAGTGACCTCCTCCAACTAGGCCCTGCCTCCTAGCAGCACATTCGGGTGTGAACTCTTTGATGGTGAATCCACCTGTGAGTACAGCACACCTATATTCAGTCACCTCCCCAAAGGGCTCACCTCTGAATACCTGAGATTTTGGGGGAAAATGTAGGTGGAAACTATAACAGGAGATTTAAAAAAATTCTATGGGTCTCTTTATTTATTTAAAAAGGGGAGAATAATTTTAGAATTAAAAATGGTGTAATCAAACTAATCAGATTTACCATCACCAATAATGAGATTTAAATTAACTTTTTTGAATCTTAATGTGAAACAATAGGAAAGACACAGAAAATCCTTAGTAATTTCTTTTTTTGGCTGAAAATCTTAACTGAAATCCAAGCATGCAGACAAATACGTATCATTGAACTTTTGGCGAGACAGCTGGCCTAGATGCTTCAAAATGTCCATATAATCAAAGACAGGGAGAATACCAGGAGTCAAATGGATTTTAGAACAGGCATGACAGACACAATATGTGAATTTCAAATTAGACCTAATTGAAATGCTTGCGGGTGGGTGCACACACTCAGAGCTGAACAAGCCTTTTGGGGAGACAGTTTGCATACAGACCAGAAACTAGTGACATGGATCAATTTTCTGTTGTTTTTTTGAGACAGGGTCTTCCTTTGTAGTTCAGGCTGGCCTTGAATTAACTATGTAACTCAGGCTGGTCTCAAACTTGAGGTGGCTCTCTTGCTTCAGCCTCTAAGGCTGGATTACAGGTGTGTGCCACCACACCCAGCTGATATGGATCCATTTTAAATCTTGGGTTATAATGGTGGTACAGGTTGAATACCTCTTATCCGCAGTGCTTGGGACTGGAAGTGTTTCACATTTGTACTTTTTGGGGGCTATTTGTAGAAGCATAATGAGATATCTTGAAGATGGGACTCAGTCGAAGCACAAATTTAATCTTTATTTCACATATGCCTTATGTACCATCAACTGTCTGCACATAAGCAGATGGTAAGTTTTATACAGGCTGACCGTGACCACAGTAGTCTCCCTGATGCGAAGTCCTACGGACTCTTGCGGGACCTGTTTTGATTGAGCAGGATTTCCCAAGGATTACAAATGAATGACTGATTTTTTAAAGCAGTATTCTCTCTGACTGCTCCAGGGCTGCTATATTTTTTGTCATGGCAGGAAGCCTATTTCCGGGTGACACTGACACAGGGAGGCCATGGTTTGCAAGGAAGAAAGGAGGGTATTTGTCTCCTCTGTCCCCCGAGAGGTCAGGCGGAGCTGGTATCCACAGAACTCCTTGGGAGCAGAGCTGGGGCTCCTCTCCTAGTGGGGATGCTGGTGTCACTGAAAATCCGAAGCCTGTCTTTCTCCCAGCACAGGCGTCCAAAGTGATGAGGGGAGAATGTTCCAGCACAGGGCTGTTTTGGGTTTGAGTGTTACTTGATTAATTACTTTTTTGCAGAATTCTTTTCTACGAATACATGTGGGGTACTTGTAAGAAACCCTCTGTTTTTCTTTCTTTTTTTCCCCTGTGAGATATCTTCAGCGGATTACTGTTTCTTACGACCAGAGCCCTCTTTCCACCTGCCTTTAGCTGACTGTGAGTACTGGGAAACTGCCTCTGGTAGCAGCTGATGCTTACCTCGCTCTGCTTCCCTGAAGCACCTGCAAACATTAAACATGCTATTGGTTTTTAAAAAATATTTTTAATTTTTATTAGCATGTTTTCTTTTTCTTTTAAAATTAAAAAAAACCCCTGACAAAACAACAATGAAGGCAAAATCAAAATAACGCCAAAACAATAAAAATGATACATGACCTCAAAACAAAATTTTAGGAATTAACAATGGTTGCTACATGTTTTAGCACATAATGATTGCATCTATTGTGGAGAACTGTACATATGCATAACACATCTTAATTCTTTTTACTTCACTTCTACAAATGGGATTCTATCAAGTTAAAAAGCTTCTATACAGAAAAGGAAGCAACCAACAGAGTGAAGAGACAACCTACAGGATGGGAAAAACGTTTGCCAGCTACACCTAGAACAGAGGACTAATATCTAGATTATATGAAGAACCCCCAAAATTTGATCCCCTGAAATAAAAATCCAATCAAAAACTGGACAGCTGAGTGGTCACTTTGGCAGTCCATATACTAAAAAAAATGGGCAACTGAAATGAACATGCACTTCTCAGAGGAAGAAGTACAAATGGCCAATAAATATATGAAAAAATGTCCAACATCACTGGCCAGTAGAGAAATGCAAAGTGAAACAACCCTGAGTGCTCGCTTCAGTAGCACGCATACTAAAACAGCACTGAGACTGTGTCTAGCCCCAGAAGGCATGGCCATCACCAAGAAATCAAATAACAGCTGAGGGGGAAATGTACCCTTCTACTTTGCTAGTGGGGTTGTTAATCATTACTACCACTCTGGGAAGCAGTATGGAGATTCCTCAAGAAACTTAAAAAAATGATCATTAATTTATCTGAAAGCAATCTCAATTGTCACTGCCTTTTGTGGAAAAATATTCCCAGAAACCCAGGGAGTGGCGGGCTCCTAGTGGCGGAGGTCTGCTGAGATGAGGAGCTGCAGACTTTTTTCTGAGACTCCTCGTTACTTCCTGTTCCTCTCATTTCCGCCTTGTCTAACCTTACTCCCCCATGAGCGTCTTCCTTCTGGAGCAGCTCTGAGGGTGATGAATTCTCACACCTTTTGTTTGTCTGAAAATGTCTTATTTCAAAATCCATCTTATTTCTAAAAGATACTCCCTGGACACAGAATTCCAGGTTGCCCCTACCTTGCTCCACCTGGGCCTCTGCTGACAGCCACACCATTGTCCCCTGAAGGCCATGTGTCCTTTCCCTGGCTGGTTTTAAGAGTGTCTTTTTACTGTCAGCATCATCACTATTTTGTGCCCAGCTGTGAATTTCTTGTGTCCTTTATTTAAGGTTAATGTACTTCCTGAATAAATAGACTGCTTATTTTTTAACCAAATTTTAAGACTGTTTATCACTATTTCCTTAAAAACTGTTCTACCCCCAATTTCACTTTCTTCTCCCTGTCAGACTCAAATTGCAGGTATGATACATCTCATGACATTGTCCTACTGGCCACAAAGCCTCTTCTCATTTAAAATGCGTCTTTGTCCTCAACAATGAACCGTTTCTGCTGATTTGTCTTCGAGCCCTCAGATCCATCCTCTGTGGTAACGTGTCTGCTTCTGGCTCACCAGTGGATTTTCCTTTTCAAATATTGCTGTTTTCAGCTCTAGAAATCCGACTTGGTTCTTATTTTATAGTTTCCATTGCCCTTCTGAGTCTCTCCAACCATTTGCTCATTACACTCACATTTTCCTTTTGCCTCTTGAACACACTTAGGTGAGTCGCCGCAAAGTCCGCTTTACTTAAACTCACCATTCCCGCCATTCGAGACCCCCATGCCCTGGCTCTTTTGTGGGTGGTGAGCAAGATTTCACCCCTTCTTTCCTGGTGGAAAAAGTCTGCCTTCTAGGACAGCGAAGGAACAGGGAGCCCAGGCAGTGCTCTCCACTTGGGATTTTGTTGGAATCTCACACTACCTGCTGAGGTAGCGGCCACCACTCCAGGTCCTTGGTGATGGAGGGAAGGTGGGTTTGAGGAAGGAAAGAAGGGCCCAACCCCTTGCAGAGCAAATACAAGAGTGATTGGAATAAATGGTGGAAGTTCGAATTAAAATAATTACAATAAAAGATAAATTTCCAAAAACAATGGGATAGGTGAGTTTAAAGCAAGGGGGAGTGTTTTGAATATTCAAAGGGGATTAATAACAACGTATCTTTTATTCTAATAATTTTTTAAGAATGTCAACATTGTAGTTTGTGATCATCCC